AGGAATGAGACCTTTTGAGCTGGATTTATCAGAACTGGGCTTACTGGGCTGTGCCAGCTCGTGTGGTTGTGTTTGGCCTTAACTGCCATCCTGCAAAAGAGGATGGAGGTAGCTGGAAGGCTGCGGCGCTCTGTGGAAGTTCTTCAGTCTTGGTGAATGAAGGAGTGCCGTTTATCACACTAAGACCTTTTCATGACTCATTAATAAACTTTCTCGTATCTAATTGCAGTGCTTTAGTAAGATGCAGTATAACCTCAGCGTGCTATTAAAGAAAAACTAGATTTTCTAGTAATGAAAAATGCAAAGTTACTCATTGAAAAGCTTATAATTCCAGCAGCAAATGAGGCATGAAATATATTGCCAAAAATACGGCGCCCAAAACCACTGGCAGTAAATATTTTATCTTGGTGCTAATTAAGAGCTTGAATTTAAATATGAGCATTCTAAATCTTCACAATAATAAAATTAACCTAACGATAGCAGTGTAGCCTTAGTAATGTGCACTGTTAATCTGGCTGGATTCTGTCCTCCACTTGCTCGTTGCTGATGCTGGAGGATGTTCATAGCTCTAGCAGTGCTAGAGCTCTAGCATTCTTCATAGGGCCTTTTTATTTACTTGGAAGTTGATTTAAGAACCTGAAGACAAAATGGTAGCAAGCTTGTGGTTTCATTAACTGCAAGGAAAAGAGTTTAATGTAAGAAAAAAAACCCTTCCCCCCACCTTGGTTTCTTAATTTGGCTTTTCTTTAACAGGAGCTGTTTCGTTAGCATTAGATTTTCTATTAATATAAATCTGGAAAATGTGGTGGTTTGGCTTCTGTTGTTATTTCATTGATTTTCTTTTGTTTTTCAGATCCTCTCTTTTAGTGTAGCTAGTGTACCCTTAATCAGGTGCATTTTGAGGCCCAAATTTGAAAGATAAACACATCCTACGAAGCTTAAAATAGTAGGTGTGATTTTTAAAAAATAAAAAAAATAATGCTCAGCTTGAGAGAGAGATTTTTATGAAGGAAGCAGTGTTTTTTATATGTAACTCTACTTCTGTAGACTTATTTAGGTTGTGCTTAAATGCTGGTAGTGATGGAAGCTGTTAGCTGCGTGTCTGTACGGCATCTGACTCCGGCAGCTGTCCAGAAGGTGTTTTGAATGGGGTCTTTTCTGGGGGTGCCTCTGCAGTTTGATGTTCCCTCTAGTGTTTGAGGACTGGAAATGCTGAGTCTAATCTTCATCAGGTTGCTGCAAAATGACCAAACATGCTCTCTAGCAACTCCTTGAAAGCCAAGGACAGGGTTTTATGTTGGGCAAGTCAAAGGGAGGGAACGTGGGGGCTTGTCTCTGGTTTCAGTGGATGTAACTGCTGCATTATCAGCTGGCTTTGTCCATGTGCTCTGCTCTGGATGACCTTTGGAGTGTAGGAGCTGAGTCTGAATGGCTTCTGTGTCATCGCATCACATTTCTACTTACCTCTCTGGGTAGACCAAATGTGGAGCCTGTCTAAGCAGAATTTGATTTTGGTGCTGCTTAGATGACTATCTCCCAAGCTATTTATTGGTTTCATCAACGCAGTAAATTGTCTGAAGTCTCCTGAAGAAGTACTTACAGAGATTTCTATGGCTGATTAATTGCAACAGTTTGCTAGATAAGAATAAAGACAAATGATTATTTAAACCTGCTTATGTACCATGACTCTTTCTTCCTTGATTGTGGTAGAGTGCCAGCTGATGAAGACAGAACGACCTAAACCAAACACATTTATCATTAGATGCCTCCAGTGGACCACAGTAATTGAAAGAACATTTCATGTGGAGACTCCAGAGGAGCGGTATGTTTCATTCATATTTAATACATAAACTACTTGCAAAAGCAGATGCAAGTGTTCAGCATTAATAGTGAGTCTTTTGCTGAAGCTCTTATTTATCAGATGATGTACGTCTAGACTGAAAAGTGACAAATAATTTTTGAGCGCCTCAGTTTTAGTGCATGTTCCAGTATAAAAGATACCTTAAAGGGGGTTTCAGAGACTGGATTTTGAGTAGTATTTATAAATTAAATATTGCTAGGTTGGGTATCCAAAACGGACAGGTGCAAGTGTGTACCAGCACACAGGTAGTTATTTCTGGAAACTCAGGGTTCATTTCTCGCTGGAAATGTTGTGGTATGTGAAATGAAGGTTTCTGACCTCGGAGTTTCTGGAATGATGTGCACAAGTGAAATAGAGATTCAGGCAAAGTTGAGTTGTATAAAAATACTGACCTTTTAAAGTCTTTTTGGACACCTTGTTTTTAAGGGAAAAAAGTTAGTCATATCATTGCTGATTGCTAATGTTTTATGCAAATTAGACAATAAAGGTGATAGTTATCTGCTGCAGGTGCAGATTTCTGTTTCAGCTGTTAGGAAACAAAGCTAAGAGCATGCATCGTGTGCTGTCATCATTGGAGAATTGATCTCTTTCCTCCTGAGAGAACAGTTTTCCAGCACATCTATTCTGCAACTAGAGAGTATTTAAATATTTACTTGCTCTTCAGGAACTGAACTTAAATTATTCCAGTACCATTGCCCTAGGGGAAGGGGTGTTTTAAAACTCTTGTTCTCCCTAGATGTGATACTGGTATATGTTTATTTTTAAGATCAGCAAGTTCTATCTAATATTCTTTGTTTTTTTCCTTCTGTAGCCTTTGCATGCACTGATTTAAAGTAGGTTCCTATTTATTGCTTTTGATTCTATTACAAGGCTCAGAAGAAGGCGAAATCAAATTAAAAGCAAAGAAAAATAAACTTGTCCTTGTTTCTTTTAGTAGCTTTGTGGTCAGTGACCCTAAAGGGAGTGAGTAACAGTTTCCACTTGGGGGAAGATTGTATTTCAGTCTTGTTTTGTTCCCTCCTAACCAATTAAGTCAGCTTTGTGACACTTCAGGGCTCAAAGTGTTAGTCACCTCTGTTGTGTATGGTTGAGACATAACAGCTGAGGGTGAAATTCTGGTCTCCCAGAAATCAAAGATACTCACTTCAGGAGGGCTGAGATCTCAGTAAGTCAGTAACAAATCTTGAGAGAGGTGTGAAGGTAGATATGTCTTTAGCTTTCTCTGTGCCTTTAAAACGAACATTTGTTTTTTGAGAGAAATGGAGAGAGAGAAACACAGAAGAAAAAGTTCTTTTTTAATAGTTCTGAATAGGAAAAATGACTAGGAAATAAAAGAATGTGTTTGATTAGAATCTTGTGTTGGGTACTTTTTCAGGTGGACTTTGCTTCCTCTGGGGGATGATTTGCCTCTCCATCCATCGCAAACTGAAATTCTTGTGTTCAGATATGATTTTTTTTTTTTAAGAATAATTTTATAGAACCAGTGACAAATTTGACATTGATTAGGATAGCATAGCTTCACTGTAGGTTATGCCTGGAGTTGTTCAGCATTAGCTACTTCGGTTCCCACTATAGTAGCGAAGTATTTTACCTGGAGTGTCCTGGGGAGAAGAGTTTAACCAGTGCCCAGAAAATATCAGCTAAACCACTACATCCAGTTCCTTACAGATACGAAAGATAGTAAAACATGGTAAATTCGCACAGTCCACTGAACATGTCTTCAGGCCCTGTATGCCTTAAAGCCCATCCCAAACCCCTGTAATCCCTTATGAGTTGTATGCTTTATGTTCAATAAATTTGCAGTGAAATGAAGTGAAGGCCAAGAACTTTCACTTCAGTAGTTTCCAAAGGTGTGAAATTTCCCAAAGGACACTGGAGTGGAAGTGGTGTCCATAAGGAGTCAAAGAGGTCAGTATTAGAGCACCCACTGCTGAAACAGCTGTGGAAACTTTATTGTAACCAAGACCAGTGCCTAAGATAAAATGTCACTGCTTTTGCTGACATTCTGCTAAACCTTACATGGGAATTGCTGTACTTCTTTCATTGTCTTTACAACAGAGGAATAACTTAAGTGTCCACCTTTTCCTAGAACACCCTTGGCATTAAAATTCAGGATATATGTGCGAAGAGGTGGCATAGTGCCCCCAGCAGTTGCATATATGTGTTTCAGTACACCACAGGAATGGAGAAGCTATGTTTAATTGCTTTGTGCTGCATGGGAGCCTTTTGCTTTTTGGTTTTGGCAAGTCTGTTTTTGTTATGTAAATCTCTGTATCACCAGGTCATATCTTGAGCTGCTGACTGAATGCATATTAGAAATTCTGTTGTCTGAAAAGCCGTATATTGTATCCAGACTGGGAGGACTTCAGTTGTTTCTAGTACTATTAATAAAGGTATATGTTAAAAGTGCTTTTAAAAACGCATTTTCACAGTGCTTGAAAATACACGTAATTCATTGTATGTTGCATTGATTCATCAGAGAGCATTAGTTACTCTATATTCTTTGGTGACCCTTGCCATGGCAGACCATAATCTAAAGTCACAAGTAATGAATGTCTTTGATTATATTTTGCCAGGGAAGAATGGACAAAAGCCATCCAAACAGTAGCAGACAGCCTCAAGAAACAAGAGGAAGAGATGATGGATTTTAGATCTGGCTCTCCCAGTGATAATTCAGGTGCTGAAGAAATGGAAGTTTCTATGACAAAGCCAAAACACAAAGTGGTAAGTGAGCATAGCAGGAATAATATTTTTTAGGTCTTCTCAAATGCAGACGAGAAATAGTCATCAAAACAGATCTGTTCATGTAACAATTCCATAGTTGGTTGTAGGTGCAGCTTCTGGAGGGAACAGTTGTCTGAGCTGAGTAGGTACCAGGCAGGGCCTGTCTGGGTCCACTGGAGTTCTGATTTCAGAAGTCCTTACTGGATGGCTTTCAAGGCCAGCTCAGGTCTGGATTTGATTTACCTATTTTCCTGTGGTACAGAGCCTGAAATCATAGCTCCTGCTGGACCGTGTGACTGTGTAAACTCTTTGCAGGCTGGTGCAAAAAATTCTAGTGGATTTGCAGGATTTAGGGTGGGTCCAGTGGATTTAATTGCTCCAGATTAAGGTTTAGGCTAACTCCCAGAGAGCTGCTGCAGTGTCTGTTCATAGTGTTCTTAGAGCTCAGGTTTTTGCATCAGGCACAGCATTGAATGCACAGAGCCAGCTCAGCAATGGCCTTCCATGAAAGGAGTGTGTGCCAGAGGACATCTTTGCCCTGTGGAGCCCTTTTAGGTATCTGTCTTCAACCTCCCCTCACTTCTTTCTACCCCCTTGTGTCTCCTGTTTGGGTTTCCATTTTCCAGAGGATTCCCACCCACTCTTCTAAGAAAGAATTAATAAAACCTTCTCCCATGCTAATACTATGTCTGTGGATTGTACCAAGGCACTTCTTTTGTGTCCTTATCTCACCATTGTCATCCTCACTTACTTTTGTAAGTTTGTTTCAGTTTTGGGAAAACTTTAAAAAGATAGCCATTCACCAGTGTCATCACTAAGTATGTGTGCCAGCCTTGTGTCATGTCACCGATTTTAGACTGATGTGGGTGGCTACTCACATGTCACTCTGAATTGTAGCTACCATTAGCCTTCTGTGTCCTTGACTGAACAGATACCACTCTTGCTGAGCAGCTCTTCATGGAAATGCAAGAACCACCTCATTGGTCAAATATATACATTCTCTCTGGGCATGTTAGGGAGGGTAACTAAAATGATTATTGGGGTCCTGGTATCAACTGTATTGAACAATTAGTGGACAGTCGCCTCAGCCAGCTCTAGGGAAGAATATGGGGGAAGTTTTCTGTTGGGAGCATCTTAAAATTTTTCCCCAACCAAGGCTGCAGTAGCCTCTGGCTGTATAAGGCTAATCTGTGAAGCAGTCATTTTGTCTGTGGGTTTTGGGGCTGCTCAATGAAGCACAAGCAAGCTGGTCACCTAGAGAGGTGGGGAACATCAGAAAAAAAGATACGGATTTAATCCCTTGAATCAGAGCAACGTGTGTTTTAGCAAATGTCTGCCTTGGCAAAGTGGTCAAAATATCTATGGATTAATAATAATATGTTGAGTGGTATTTGCACAGTTGAGTGTTGGGTCATGTGAAAGAGTGTTCTGTTAATTGAAAGCTTATGGTTTTCCATGAATAGTTTGATTTGATTACCTTTGGGAGTGCACTGGTATTCATGATTATGGAAGAATCATTTCTGCTTCTGAATTCTACTAAGCAAAAGGATTTAAAAAAAAATCACATATGCAATGTATTCTCATGTGAATGAGAAATTCTAGTCTGAGAATGATATACTTGTTAGTTCCTGTAATTCAGTTCTTGTTTATCTGTATCATTAACAGACCATGAATGAGTTTGAATACCTTAAACTATTGGGAAAAGGCACTTTTGGAAAGGTCATTTTAGTTAAAGAAAAAGCAACCGGACGATATTATGCTATGAAAATTCTGAAGAAGGAAGTTATTGTAGCAAAGGTGAGTAGATGGGAAACTTGGGAATGTGGTTCACCCTTGATACAGCCTTCAGGAAAGTCATATCAGGGGTTCTCTGAGTACTTGTAAATAATTGCTCCATTAGTGTTTGAAATGGACCCCTGATCTGGAGAATCACTTTGCTGATTTCCTTCTGCTTGTGTTTCAGGATGAAGTAGCACACACGCTGACAGAAAACCGTGTTTTACAGAACTCACGGCATCCATTCTTAACAGTAAGCATTCTTCCTCTGCTGAGTGTAACGACATTATGACAACCAACACTTCCCTTATTTTTTATTTATATAATACATCTGAGATCTGTGTTTTCAGAGTGGCTGTGTATTTTTGTACCCTTGCATTTTTGGGAAGCACAAATTAAAATGCTTTTTAAAGTCTTCTGATTCTTGCAGAGCAGGTCCTCACTACCTCTTGAAGACGGTGTTTCAGGGTGTGGTTTGACTTTATGGCTCACCCATTTGAGGCTTGCTATCTCTGAGAAGTATCTGCTTTCCTTGTCCTCCAAATGTGTGGTCTCCTCTTTGTAACAGAGATGAGGGTGACCCTGATCTTGTAACAAACAAGTTCAGGAAGAAAGAGTGGAGGAAAACCGCTTTAATTTTTCCTTTTTTTGTTGTGTTTTTTTTTTTAAGCTCCCAGAAGCAGCTAACTATGGAATCAGAGCACTGGTGATGCCAGGCAAGGGATAGTGGTGGGAGCATGTGGGATGGGACAGGGAAGAGCAAGACCGTACTTTTATCTGCTGCTTTCTTTTAGGATTGGCTTAGCTGTAGAAGCAAACCATACTCTTGGCTTAGACCTCCAATGCCAGTAGTCTCTCTGGGTTGAGTTCAGATACCTAAGCTCCACCTCAACATTTTGTTTCTAGTATTTATTATAAGTTGGCTTTGAATTGTTTCCAACTGCTTAAGCCCTCTTTGTAGGAACCCAGTTGTTTCCTTTATCCAGGCACACAAGGGCTTAAACTGGCATTTAGACTTTTAAGCATGGCCTCTGGAAGTAAATATTGGTGTATTGGGTATAAATCGGTAAATGTTTGTTGGCATGTCTAAAACCCGATCCTCCCTCTCCCTGCAAAAATATGACTGGTTTAAAAATGCCACCTCTAGTAATGAAGACTATGATGTCATATGCAAGTGGTTTTTTTTTTTAATGCTTTCATAAACCCAAATATCTAAAAAAAGGGCTGTCTTGAGAAGTCAGCTACAAGTCTGTGTTATGACCAAGAAACTTAAGACTGTGGCAAATAAGTTGATGTTACTGTTGCCACAGGAATACACGTGACAGGACTGTACAAAGGCACCTTGTGATGTTTCATCACACCCTTCGTCCGGTCTGTTTTTGTGAATTGCTCACAAATTGATACTGGCAGCATTGCTCAATCCACTGGCAGGCTGTCAACAAGGAGCAGTTGCAGGCAGCAGGGCAGAGACCATGGGGCTGGTGTGTGTAAATATATATGTGTTTCTTGTAAGAGGGCTTGTAGGCAGTGTGGTAAAACCTTATGCTCTGGGTTTTGGTTGTGGCCTCTTGTCTGTGAGATAAAACTGCAGGAGCTTGTGGCCTGGGGAGGAAACTTCAGAGCCACTATTGGTATGTTTTGTATCACTGTTTAATGGGCCAGAACTTTGTTGAAGAGCATTATAGGTGTTACTGATAGCTTCTGCAAGGGATTGTTTTAATGTTTTATTACATTTATTTAATGAAGTAAGTTGGCGGTGCATCAGTCCTCAGCTGCAACAGGAAAGTGTAAGTATTTTGTAAGATTCAAGGACAAAAAGTCCACTAAAATGTCTGTCTGTATTTCTGAAAATCTATTACAAATGCTTTTATAACTGTCAGTGTGATCTCTCTTCTGAATTTTGGTTTAAATCTGTTTCAGGCTTTAAAGTATTCCTTTCAGACACATGATCGCTTGTGTTTTGTTATGGAGTATGCTAATGGAGGAGAGGTAAGAGAAATGTAATAATGTTTAATACTTTAGGATTTTCCTGTACTGCTACTAATTCTGCTTGACATTATTTAGCTAAGGTCCATGTTTGCAATTCTAATTAATGCCAGTTGTCCCAGTTAAACAGAGCTGTTTGCTGGCTTAATTAAAATGAAGAATAAAGACTCTTAATTTTCTTAACTCCATTTTTAGGGAATAGAGGTTTTGGGTGTAGGTTCATATTTTACATGACAGCAATGTATTGTAATCTGGCCTTTAGGAATTCAAGAAGGCAAGGTTGATTTCTAGTTGCTCTTCAGCCAACTTTCAACACTTTTTATGAACGCTGTGAACATGCATTACTTTGGAGGGAGAACTAGAAACAGCAAACTACTGTTAGACAGTCAAGAAGGAAAAGGTGGAACATTAACATGTCTCTAAATCATGCATTAAGCTGGAGTTTTAATATATAATTGTAGTTCAATCAAAATGGGTTTTTATAGGTTTCTGTACATACAAAACTGTGCAGCACACAAACTGGCTATCAGTGTGCATCTGTGAATATGAGATACAACTCTCTAGTCATTTAATTTATGATGTTTTTAAATACATTTGGGAACACAGCTGGGTGAGGATGGAAAGGGGTTTTCTCTTAGGTAATATCGCATTCCAAGCAGGATGGCCTGCGAGGTGCAAGACATAACTGAGAAGCATGTGCAATCTGAAGGTAACAAATTATTGTTCTTGTAGTTGTTTTTCCACCTGTCAAGAGAGCGTGTCTTTTCTGAAGACCGGGCTCGGTTTTATGGAGCTGAGATTGTTTCAGCACTGGATTACCTGCATTCAGAGAAGAATGTGGTTTATAGAGATTTGAAGGTGGGTAGAAAAATATTTTCATAGGCTTTTTTGGTTTTTGACTTTTTGTTTGTTAGGCACTAAAGCAAATGAGCCTGAACTGTAAGAAAGCCTTTCCTGACTGAACTTCAACGTAACAGTTATTGCAGCTGTTGGACTTGACTTTACAGAATGTCTAAACAGTTTTATAGTCTAAGAGGTTGTATAATGCATTTATCAGGACCCTGGCAGCATTTCAGAGAATATGAAGGGGTGCTGAGCTACTTGAGTTGCATTTTCACTTGCCTGCTCATGTTCTAAGAGAAACCTTGCTGGCTATTCTGCATGGTGGAACATAATCCTAGGCTCTTCATCCCAGGTCTTATCAGATAGATGCAAATTCATACTGTGTGGACGTTGTGCTTCCTTGCAATGTGCTGAGCACACAATGTGCTGTACTATGCACAGCATAATACCTGCTTGCAGTTAGAAAATTGGATAAGCTTTGAGTTGCTTATTTGTTTGGTGAGCAGAGAAGAGGAAGAAAAACCCAAACAACCAAACAAGAAATCTCAGGGCAAACAAACTTAGGAAATTCTTGAGGAAGATGCTTTTTTTTTTGTTTTGTTGTTTTTTTTTGTTCTGAGAAGTGTTTTCAGGAGAGGATGAGGGGATACTGGTAGCTCATTTAGGAGCAATCTAAAATGAAGCATGCTATGTAATGTTTTCAGGCTACATCAAAGTCATTTTGGGATTTCTGCTGGGATTTTGTCTCCCATATCACCATGATTCCTTTGAAAGTGCACTTTTTTTCATATACAGTGGAAACTCTGTCCTGAAACCTGGACGGCTTTCTCAAAAATCCGTGGCACAGGCTAGGATGAATACCACGTGCTGAGTAAATTTATCAAGTGATTCTCATGTATAGGGTCTCTTTGGAAGTGGTTCCTTTAGCCTTGCATTTGATTTTTTTTCATTTGCTATCCTTTACTGGTACAGAATATTTCATAAAATAACCTAGAGTAAAAGCAGGGATGAAGCTGTGTGAGGGGGAATACTTAATACATTTTTAAAAGAACTGGCATTCTGTTGGTGATAGTATTGTAGAAACCTAAATATAACGTCTACATTCTGTATTCTTTTGGTATATATGATCTGTTACCCAAAGACTGCAAGTTAGTTACCTAATATTCCCTGAAGAACTGAGGAAAGTGATATAAATATATATTTATATCATGCGTTCTCTGGCAGCTACTATGATTCTGACCCCAGTGTGAGCGAGGTTGAAAACTGATCTGTAGAAATTCATGGCTTTCATTGACTTGCTCAGAAGTAGTGTCTGTTATACGTAATAATGTCTTTCATTTGGATTGTCTTCTCAGTTGGAAAACCTTATGCTGGATAAAGATGGGCACATAAAAATAACAGACTTTGGGCTATGTAAAGAGGGCATAAAGGATGGAGCAACAATGAAGACTTTCTGTGGCACTCCAGAGTATCTTGCACCAGAGGTATGTTTATGTTGGCTATTGTACTAAACTATCTTCTTAAATGCCATCCATGATAGCAGTAGCGGTGTGGAATAATTCCTGTGCCGTAATGGGTTCATACAGTAGCTACTGTTATATAACAACACATACTGAGAATCTTCTATTCATCATGTTCTGGAACAATCTTTAGCATAATGGTATGTGATAAGTTTTGGGCAGGGCAGTATTATCCTTTCACTTCAGGGAATATTTACACTCTACTGGAACAGTGCTTGCTTCTTGTGTCAGAAACGTAATTTTAAAAAAACCTTTTAAATGACTTCAAATACTACCTGATGGATTGGTGACTGTTTTGCAATTTGTTTGCTGTGTGTTGAAAGCTATCAGTAGGACTTCACTTAAGAAGTGAAAGTATTGTCCGAGTCTTTTATTCTTTGAAGACAGTATAAGGCAACATGTTTTCAGAAACAGGACAGGCCAAGGTTTTTCTGCAATATTTAGCATGGTATGCATTAAAAATGCTGATTGTTTTGTGACTGTAAGAGCATGAGATATTTCTCAATGTTAACTTGAACTTTTCCATTTCAGAGGAAATAAATGCAAGCAGGCTCAGTTGCCAACATGTATGTTTTGGGGATTTTTTTGTACTAACTTTTTTTTTTAAATGTAAAAAGCAAATGTGTGCTTGCAATTTTCATCCCTTAAATACTCCTGAGAGCTGTGCAACACAGGTGGTGTTATAGCCATGAGTTAGTTATGGGCAGATCAAAAGTGAAATTGTGTGATAGAGGATATATGTATACATGGTATTTTGCAGGCAGACGCTAGTTTTCTCTGCCCACGCTCTGAGCTGTCTGGAAGCAGACTCCCTGTATTAGTAGGGCACCAAGCCTGAGCCAACGCGGTGTGCCTCACAGAAGGGTTTGTTGCCTTGCAGTGGGTGCTTTGCTACCCATGGCATTAAGGCTTCCATCCAACTCGGAGCACAGGCAGAAGCAAGTCTTGGGCTGCTGGCAGATTATACATTGCTGGCACAGCAAGGGTGTAGCCTTTCTCTGAGGTGGGAGACTTGGGCATTGCAAACCTTTCTTGAGTTGAAGTATGCAAAAGTACAAAGTATGGAAGCCCAAAGTGGAGGAGGAATATTTCTATTGAGAGCTGATGTCTTTGCTGATCAGCGCTTTTGCACTCTCCTCTTGCATATCCGTGGCAGTGTACTCTTGTTTTTTTGTTTGCCTTTTTTTTTTAACTCCCAGCTGCTTTCAAGGGCCTCCAGTGTCTTCGTAATAATGAAGAACGTGGGCACCTGTCGAAGTAGCTTGCAGCAAGGAGGTGGAGCCAGTCTCATGATAGCTGCCAGCTCCATGGATCACCAGAAGTCTTCAGTGAATCTAAATTGGGGTCTGTGCACCACAATTTGAGATTTACTGATGCAGGGAGTAATTTGCAGCACGGCAGAGTGTTTATTATTCATAAACATGGCTTTTATTTTAGCTTCCCTCTTGAAATCCGTTGCTGAGTTTCAGTTTCTCATCAAGGATTTTATGAGGAGACTAAAAATATTTATTGTTTTGGTTTTGTTTTCTCCTAACTTGGAATGTGGGGATTCCCTGTGCAGGCGTTATGTTGTTTTTTCTGTTAATATTATTTGCTATTATTTTTCTTTTTAGTATTTATGATGAATTGGCTCATCCTAAACCCTGAAGGACAAATCCTTTTGATTAGCCCAGCTCTCTCCCTTACTTGTAAATCCCATCTGTGAGTTGGAGTGTTAAATTCTGGAGGCTTTTGTCATCTGGTCAATAGCATGCAAAAAATCTGGAAATTGCGCGTGAGTGATATTCCGTGCGTTTAAGGTCATACATCCTGAAAAGCAGGGGTCTCAATCTCCTTGTCTGCGTTTGTAACTTGAATCCAGCATAGCAGCGTGTTTGTACAGTTGTTGCATCGTTGTTTTTAGGTTCATGCTGGAATCTTGTGCATGGATGACAGTGAGTGAACCATGTCAACTTTGATGTGTCAGATGCATCGATGGCTGTGATGTTTACAGCTGTTTGTGCCTTCTCTTTCAAATTCCATCTCACAGCAGTCTAGAGCTGCTTGTTAGGAAATTATGATCCTTTAACTTAAGTGAAATGACCTTGTTACTTTACTGTTCCCCAGCTATCCTGCGTGTTGTGATAGATCATGGATGAGTGCAGTACCTTTTTTGTTATGGTGTATTTTTGATACTAACACCATTGCTCTGTTTTGTGCAATCACTGATATGAGTGCATGCTCGTGATAAAGAACTTTGAAGAAATAAGCATTTTATCTTCTATTCAGAATTAATGGAGGTGAAGGAAAGAGTTGTAGTTAGTAATCTAGATTATAATACAGAGTATTAATATGCTTACTAAAGTAACATTTGAAGTATTGGCTGCATTTCAAAAGCACCTGTAGCATTTATTACATACATGACAAAGGCCTCTGCGGTTTTGTTTTTCTTTCAGTCCTCTCCTGTCATATCTCTTGCAGCAGTTTAAAAAATAAAAATCGGAGGCCCCGTGACTGTTTTATTTTAGGTAACCCAAGTGTAGAGGAGTGTGAACAGGAAGCCCTGACCGAACAGGGTGACTCAGAGCGGTAACTGTATTGTCACACAATACCTCCTGTGAGCTGAAGGGTCGCGATGCCTCGGGAAGGACGGGGCCAGCTCCTGGAATCCTGTCCGGCTGGCAGCTGTGTCGGCCGTATACATATACGGGGCAGCTGCAGAGCCAGCTGTCGTTTGGTGTGAATCATACGGCAGGGGATGCTGTAAATAGACCAATGTGGGGTAATCTAATACCTGGCAGCCTTTTGATTTTTACTGCAGGCCCTTTCCCTTGTTCAGATAATTAAGGGGAATAATTAGTGAATAAAGAGAGGCAGAGTGCATAGAGTTGTTACATGGAGTGTCTTGATGCTTCTTTTTTGTGTGCAAAACCTTTGTTGATGTTTGTACGAGGTTCAGAACCTGCTTTTGTTAAACTTGCATCAGCTTTGTTTGGCTCTTTCACCCTTTTAAATTCGAGTGTAAAAGTATTCTGAATTGTAGCAATGTAAAGCTCACACAGACACCGTGCGACAATGAAATGCGATGGTGGTGCGGTCGTGGTTTTTGCTCTTGGCAAGAGTAAGCAGTTCAGTGCAGACCCATGAAAAGAGTAAAGATGACAACTAAAACCTGAGGACAGGGTCTGGAACATGAGACTGTTAGTGTCAGCTATGGACAACTGCGTAGGAGACACAAAGTCTAGAGAAGTCCTCGTAACATCCACTCTGCAAGCCACAAAACACTCCCCACTCCCTTCAGCAACCTTCAGTGCAGAAGCTCAGAAATGTACTATGACAGGGCTTCTGCAGAGCAAGCAGGAGAGATGGAGGGCACTGCTGGGGTCCCGAGTCCCTGCTCCAGCTGGGGCTTTGTTAGGTGGAATTGCCCAGGGGAAGGGAAAAATGAATTGTGCTGGACTCCTTCCGCTGTGAGACCTGGCAGAAGTCCATCCCACTGACAATTCCTGGGTTTGCAGCCGTCTTAGCAGAGGCAGGAGTGTTAGAGCTAGTGAGCAAGTGCCTTTGGAGGGGGGCAAGGGAGAGGAGAGGAAACATTTCCAGACAATTTGGCTGCTGTTTTACGGCCTTACAGCTGGTCAAATGTTAGGAGTGGCGTTCTGGCTCTTGGTGCTTAATGTAGATTAGTCATTTAGTATTTGTGGGTGGTCTTTCAGGATGTGCAGAGCCACCCTTTGATGGGGTGCAGGTTGGTATGAAGATGATGGGGATATTTGGCTTGTGACTTGTGAAGTAACAGGTTGACATCTTCTCTCTTCTCCCCGTACTGGCTCCTTGGTGGTTTGAGGTTTTTCTAAAAAAATGGATCCCATTTGGAACAGTTTGTGATGAATAAGTGAGAGTTTAACAGCTGGCTCTGTAATGTGAGAACGGTTCTCAGCCTTTGGGCTTTTGAAGGTTTTGCTTACCATGACCATAATGTGAGGAAGGGTGGGAGGAAGAAAAGAAGGAAGCTGCCGTAATGTACCCACTGCCTCCTCTTCCCCCTGCTTCTCGCCTAGCATGGTGAATGTGGATGCCAACTCTTCTCAAATGGATCTTCTGCAAATACTCTGCTCCTGGATTTGACTGTGATATGTTAAAAAATGAACTTGCTGGGGTAAATTTTGCCTGAAGTTTTGTGTTCATGCCTGGTTTGGGAATTTTTTCTAAAGCCTTTTTCCCTA